TTGTACCCCTTCTTTGGGCATTAACGGGGTGACCGGACGCTCCGGTCCGATCGATCGACTATGGCCCTCGGCGTCCGATCCACGTGATTCACGCCACGTGTCCCCTGTTTCAAATGCTGTTTCGTCGATTTCAACGGTCATGAAGGCGACCGGACGCTCGAGAATGACCGACCAACGCTGAAAGCCCCAACGTCCGGTCATTTCAAAGAAGCTCCCGAGGCATGTTTTTTTTCGGCCGGACGCGTAGTCCACCTTGACCGGACGCAGACAGGCGTCCGTGCTCAACCTAACTAGCCATTGTATCATTGAAGTCGGGCGACCCGGATAGAGCATCGGCGTCCGGTGCTTTTGGATTCAGCGTCCGGTCACAGGACCGACGCCAGCATCATTTCGATCAACTCCATTTCAACTCTAACTTCTTCACCCTTGCTCAAGTGTGCCAACCACCAAGAATTTTGCATCCGGCGCAATAGAAAATAGACATTTCATTTTTTCAAAAGCGCCGAATCTTGATCTTGTTTGTACACCTCTTGAAATATCTCCAATGATTGTATCCAAAGGATGATCTCTTGCAATACTTGTTGCTTGAAGAATTGGAACTTGATTGCTTGCACTTGCTTGATCATTTGGTTGAGATGATGTACTAGCCATTTGATCTTGATCAATATCATGAGAGTCACTTGCACTAGCTTGATTTGTATCATCTTGCACATTAGAGTTGGAGAGCACTTGCACTTAATCATCTTCATCATCAATCACTTGCCTAGGCCTCAATTCACCAATATCCATGTTCTTCATGGCATTTAAAAGTTGAATGCCTCTAACATCTTCCAAGTTCTCATTCTCTACTTGTGAACCCTTGGTTTCATCAAATTCAACATCATGAACTTCCTCAAGAGTACCACTATCCAAATTCCAAACTCTATATGCTTTGCTTGTGGTGGAATAACCAAGTAGGAATCCTTCATCACATTTCTTATCAAACTTGCCCAATCTTGTGCCTTTCTTCAAGATATAGCATTTGCAACCAAAGACCCGAAAATATGCAATGTTGGGCTTTCTACCATTCAAGAGCTCATATGGTGTCTTCTCTTTCAATCGGTGACAATAGAGGCGGTTGCTACAATAGCAAGCCGTGTTGATAGCTTCGGCCCAAAAGGATTGACTCACATTGTACTCACTAAGCATAGACCTTGTCATATCAATAAGTGTTCTATTCTTTCTCTCAACAAGGCCATTTGATTGTGGAGTGTACTTGGCCGAGAATTGATGTCTAATTCCAAATTCATCACATAACTCATCAATTCTAGTGTTCTTGAACTCACTACCATTGTCACTTCTAACTCTCTTGATGGTTGTTTCAAACTCATTTTGAATGCCTTTGACAAATGATTTGAATGTTGCAAATACATCACTTTTGTCCACTAGAAAGAATACCCATGTATATCTAGTGTAGTCATCCACTATCACAAAACCATACTTATTACCACCAATGCTAATGTATTGTGTTGGCCCAAACAAATCCATGTGCAATAACTCAAATGCTTTACTAGTGCTCATCATGCTTTTCTTAGGATGGGTGTTTCCAACTTGTTTGCCGGCTTGACAAGAGCTACATAGCTTATCCTTTTCAAACACTACATCTTTCAAGCCTCTAACCAAATCATGCTTAACCAATCTATTTAATTGTTTCATTCCAACATGACCAAGCCTTCTATGCCATAACCATCCCATACTTGACTTAGTGAATAAGCATGTGGATAATTGAGCTTCACTAGCATTGAAATCAACCAAGTATAGATTCTCATATCTAAAGCCTTTGAAGATCAAGTTAGAGCCATCTACACTTATGATTTCTACATCATCTACCCCAAATATGCATTTGAATCCAAGATCACACAATTGAGCCACGGATAGCAAATTGAAGTTCAAGCTCTCTACTAGCAATACATTGGATATGCTCAAGTCATTGGATATTGCAATCTTACCAAGCCCTTTGACTTTGCCTTTGCCATTGTCACTAAATGTGATACTATCATACCCATCATTGCCATTGGTGTTGATTGAGTTGAACATTCTTGCATCTCCGGTCATGTGTTGAGTGCACCCACTATCAAGAACCCAATGCCTTCCTCCGGCTTTGTAATTGACCTACAAAAGAAGATCAATTCTTTTTAGGTACCCAAACTTGCTTGGGTCCTTGAATGTTAGTAACCAAGCTCTTTGGCACCCAAATGGCTTTCTTCTTTGAGCCCATCCATGGTTTACCAATGAACTTAGCATGAACACCATTTGCACCTTTTCTAAGCATATAACATGAATCTAGCTTAATAAAGGATACATTAGCATTATTTCTCTTATTAGTGCATTCATGCTCTTTGTGACCAACTTGCTTGCAACTAGTGCAAAACCGACCATTGTTCTTCACAAAACTAGTCTTGTGAGGAGCAAAGGCCGCCTTGCCTTTCTTGGGGACCCAAATCCATCTCAACCCTGCAAACACCTTGTGCACATGTGTTAGCATATTTTCACAAATATTATCAAGGGTGTTAGCACTCCACTAGATCCTAAATGCATATGCAATGAGTTAGAGCATCTAATGGCACTTTGATAACCGCATTCCGATACGAGTTTCACCCCTCTTAATAGTACGGCTATCAAACCTAAATGTGATCACACTCTCTAAGTGTCTTGATCACCAAAACAAAATAGCTCCTATGGTTTATACCTTTGCCTTGAGCTTTTTGTTTTTCTCTTTCTTCTCTTCAAGTGTAAGCCCTTGATCATCTCCATGCTATCACCATTGTCATGTTATGATCTTCATTTGCTTCTCTACTTGAAGTGTGCTACCTATCTCATAATCACTTGATGAACTAGGTTAGCACTTAGGGTTTCATCAATTCACCAAAACCAAACTAGAGCTTTCACCGGTGAGGCGGTGGCCCTGTTCGCTGAGAGAAATCTGAACGAATTTGTGAGAGAGTAAATAATATTTTTTTCATCCGCGTACAGTGAAATCCAGCTGTTTTTTCAACCAGCCGAACCAGCCCGGTGACAGATCAGCATCGTCGTCGGATCTGGTACATGCTCTATCTAGCTAGCCCTCCAAAATTCATGACCGATGATCCGGTGCATGTAATTCACGTGTCAACCGAGCGCATTGCATTCATGCATGTCCATGTAGGAGTATCTATCTATGTCTTGCTAGCTGGTGGCTGGTCAAGTAGTGGTGACGCAGCTGGAGTGGTCCTTTAATTTTCGTGCAGAGTCTATCTGTTTCAGACTGAGCAAAGCACAAATGAAATTGTGTGTGTGTGTGCGCGCGCTGACTGTTCTATATTGGTGATTGGTATGCATGACGAAACTGGACATGGAGAACCACGAAACATGTGATAGTTGTGATGATCCCAAAGGTTAGCACGCGGAGATGGATCCACGAAAACCGCGGAAACACCAGCGGACGCCATCACGCCACGCATACTGTACGTGCTGCTTGTCCGGACCGGACCAGATACGACGTCCAACACGGCAGAGTCAAGCAAGCAAGGGCGACGCTAGCTGCAACTACGTACTCCGCCATGGCCGGGACGCTAGCTATATATAAAGCCGGCCGGAATTATTGATCGGCTCATCAGCTGCCTCGACCACACCGTACCGTACACAGCTAAGCTAAGCACACGGCGCCTGTTGTCCTGCAGCTTGGAACGGAGAGGATAACGGGAGCTTAAGCGGTGGATCGAGTCTATCTTGATCTTTGCATGCATCGATCGAGCAGGTCAATTTCCGGCCACCGGCCACCGGACCACGTACGTACTGTTGGACGGAAGCTGGTGTCTCTTGCTCTCCTGGGAGCTTAACGGAAGCTGCTCTGCTGCTGCTGCTGCCCACTGTCGTCGTCGGCACTCGTTGGACGCAGGAAAGAGGCGGCGGCAAGATTCTCTTTCTCTAGCTAGGCGCGCGCTGACCGTCGTCGAGGAACTGATCGTGGAAGGAAGGGATAATAATGCACCCACGCACCAAACTCTCGCCGCCTGGTAACTTACTCGTTCTTGCATTCCAATTTCCAAACCCCTTTCTTACTCCTCCGTCTGCATGCGATCCGATCCAACACCAGGTGATAAAGCAGGAACGACGGACGACGTACGGCCCGGCGGTCCACCTCGCAAATTGGAACGAAAACCGCCAATTTGATCGCCGAATTTGGCACAGCCACGAATTCCACATCTCTCGGCACCCACGGTCTCGTCGGACCACGCCACGCCCCGGTGGCCCGGGTCGGAAAAGCGCCCGGAGCCAGCCAGGCAGGCAGGCGTGAAGGAAACCTCGTCGTCTCGATCGTCTGGTGGATCCAGATACGTGAGACGCAAGCGCACGCAGCCGCCCGCCCACCCGGTCCAGCCAGCCTCACCCTAGGCGACCTGGGCTTGGCAGCTGGCCGCCCGCCCCTGCACTGCAAACGGGCACGGCGCCTCAGAGCGCGGCGGAGCGCCCGGGGCGAGGCTATAAAAGGCGCGCCTCCTGCACGCCACCACCGCAGAGGCAGACAGAGCGAACGAGCCCGAGCCGTGCCAACCAAAGAACCACCCCACCCACTACCAGCCCGCTTCCTTGTCCCTGCCCCTCTCCTCTGTCTCCACCGCTCGGGCGGCGTGGCTCCGAGGGCGGGAAGCGCGGGCTCGGCGGGGCGACTCGCCGGCGGCGACCTGCAGGTTTGGGTATGAGAGGGGTCACCCACGCGGCGCCCACCGCAAGCGCCCCCTGCCCCCTCCGCGGACGACTCATCATGGACGGCCTCCTCATCTTCGTCTTCTACCTCTCGCTGCCTATACGTGGCGGCCGCGACCACTCGTTAATCTCTAATTGTTAGCCGCCGCCGGTCGGCACGCCATCGGTCGGCCCGCCCCCTACGCACCCCGAAGCTTTGCGCTCTCGATCGTCTCGTCCACGGTCTACGCACGCCGTCGCCGCCGTCGCCAGCCTCACACACAGGATCAGGATCGATGGACCAGCCACCGAATGGATTCGCCGCCGGAGGTGCGTGCCGTGCGGCATCAACCAAATCACTCCTTTTTTTTCCCCCACCTTTTGGTTTGGTTTCCTTTCCTTCTGAAATGCTCCTACTTAATTACGTCCATTTGCGTGCGATGGTGCGATTTTCATTTGATATATACGCGATGCTACGTTATTAGGATTTAAGAGTGAAAAAAGAGTTTGACGTCCCGCAAAGATTGAAATCTGCTGCGCAATTTGAAAATGTTCCGTCCTGGTATATGTAGTAGCAATAATTTAATCGTCTCTGTCACGGACTGCTGTCCTAATCCTTGTGGACTGTGTTGTGACATCTTAGTGCCTTCCCCAATGCTGAAAGGGCAAAACGATGATTATGGGGACAAGAACTATGATTTGGTTACCTATTTTATTATATATATTGGTTGGTGGGGGGCCCTTGATATATTTCAATGCAGGTCCGGGGAACAAGATAATTATGCAAACAGGGGGGCCTTTCTAATTTGATTGATCACCGAAGTCATTCTGGTGACCTCACCTAGTCACCTTCACCTGAATCGTTGTAGTTGTAGGGTACATACCGAAAAGTTATTTGCCGATCTACAAGAATCTAGAACAGAGAATATTACACGGAACCTGTATAGAGAATGAGGAGGAAACTTGCAAGTGAAAGGGACGTATGAGTAGGCTCCAAACTATGAAACTAGATATCACTATGTTGTCATTTCTCAAAGAAAATAAATGGACTTCTGCGCTCCACAACCATCCACGTCAACTTGCTTCCTTGTTCTTGTTTGCAGAATATCATCTCCACCAGTTCATCCAAAATGATACGCATCGATGAGTTCTTCAGACCAAGTATTTTATCGAAGTCCAAAACAATCACACCTTTTTTCACTAATCAACCAGAAATGATAACTTACCCTGACATATATTCCTAAGATTATCCTGACCCCATAATACAATACAACCCCCTTCAGCTAGCCACTGCATGCTAAGACAGCCAAACTTTTCCTAGCTCATAATTTAACCATTAATTGGTCAAGGAAAATGATAGGGATAGTTACCCTGAATGGAGAAATTGCTATGTGATTATTCGGGCAGATGGGTGAGAAACATGTGGTGCTAGTTACGGTTTTAATGTCTTATTGGCTTTATATATATGTTATAAGTTTCTATAAATTAAAGTTGATGGTTCTTATGCATTGCTCACCGTTCTTGTTTGCCATCAGGTTTCTTCACGCACATTGATGGGCAAAACCGTTCTCCCCCTTCTGTAATTGTAATTGGGGGAGGGATTTCAGGCATCGCAGCCGCACGTGCTTTGTCTAATGCTTCATTTAAGGTAAATTTCTAGTTTACATTCCACAAGCAGCTCAGGTGTTTGATGCTCACATAAAGTTAAACAATTGCAGGTCACACTCTTGGAGTCGAGGGACCGACTTGGTGGCCGTGTGCACACTGACTATTCTTTTGGTTGCCCAATTGACATGGGAGCATCATGGTTAGTTGCATAACAGAGCTAATTTTTAGTTGCTTTTATCCACCTTGTCTTGAATTTGGTGCAGTATGGTCTTATGCTTTTATCTTGTGATTCAGGTTGCATGGTGTTTGCAATGAGAATTCTTTGGCGCCATTGATTAGGATGCTTGGGCTTAGATTATATCGCACAAGCGGTGATAACTCTGTTCTGTATGACCATGATTTGGAAAGGTAATAGATAATCCATAATGGGCAAAACGTGTGATCTCTCTTAAGTTGATTGGTTTCCCTTCCTTTACAATTACGATTTTTTTATTTTATTTTTCAGTTATGCTCTATTTGATAAGCATGGCCAGCAAGTTCCCCAGGAGATAGTTAGCAAAGTTGGGGAGACATTTGAGAAAATTCTTAAGGAGGTACTGCAGTCCTTGGCACTTATATATTGTCTATTCAATGCTTTTGTGGAACTATAATAAGCTTACTTCTTGTTAATATTTCAGACTGTCAAAGTAAGAGATGAACATGCAAATGACATGCCTCTTATTCAAGCCATGGCAATTGTGCTTGACAGGAATCCACATATGAAGTAAGTGGAACTTAGGATCCACCAGATTGTGTTACAGGGATTTGTCAGGTCTTTGATGATGTGCACTTTTTTTTCACAGACTGGAGGGCCTGGAATATGAAGTACTGCAGTGGTGTATATGTAGACTGGAGGCATGGTTCGCTACTGACATGGACAATATATCTCTGAAAAGTTGGGATCAGGTATGCAACGCAGAACTTCCAGAAACACACATGCCCATACAGGATATGCTTTATTCTTTGCAGAATCAATTCAAGGATGAGTTCATTTGCCAAACCATATTCTCCAGATCAGCAAGCACACACTTGCATGAAAAGCGTGCTGAGCTTTGCAAATTTGCAGGAACATGTGCTTACCGGTGGACATGGTCTTATGGTTAATGGCTATGATCCTGTCATCAAAGCTCTCGCTCAAGGTCTTGATATTCACCTCAACCACAGGTGTGCAGAAGAACCATGCATGTAATCCTTCCGTTGTCAAATTGAATCCCAAATAGTTTCCTCATTACCTCTTCTTTCTTTTTGATCATCAGGGTCACAAAGATCATACAGCGTTATAATAAGGTTATTGTCTGTGTGGAAGATGGGGCTAGTTTTGTTGCAGATGCTGCTATAATAACCGTCCCTCTCGGGGTACTTAAGGCAAATATCATCAAGTTTGAACCTGAACTACCAAGAGAGAAGCTTTCAGCAATCGCTGATCTTGGCGTTGGCATCGAGAACAAGATAGCCCTTAAGTTCAACACTGTATTTTGGCCCAACGTTGAAGTGCTCGGTAGGATCGCCCCAACGTCAAATGCCTGTGGCTACTTTCTCAACCTGCACAAAGCCACAGGAAACCCAGTCCTGGTATGCATGGTAGCTGGAAGATTCGCATACGAGATCGAGAAGCTATCGGATGAAGAATCCGTGAACTTTGTTATGTCCCAGCTCAGGAAAATGCTACCGCAGGCAACTGAACCGGTAAATCAAGCACAGAAAAAACACATACTTCCGGTTCCAGTCTCTGTATGATATCGATGATTCGTAGCTATAGCTCCTGACATTTTTGGGTTGTCTTCTCCAGGTTCAGTATGTGGTTTCACGTTGGGGCAGTGACCCAAACTCACTTGGTTCCTACTCGTGCGACCTGGTGGGGAAACCAGCTGACCTGTATGAAAGATTCTGCGCTCCGGTGGGCAACCTGTTTTTCGCTGGGGAAGCCGCCTGCATCGACCACTCCGGATCAGTGCACGGAGCTTATTCGTCAGGCATTGCTGCCACAGAGGACTGCCGAAGGCGTCTCTCTACGCAGCTAGGCATCTCCGACCTGTTCCAGGTTGGCAAGATTATTGTGAGGGAGGAGATGACTGAGGTCATGGTTCCCTTCCAGATATCCAGGCTGTAAGAGAAATCTATTCACTGAATCACCGTGTTGTGTTGTGTTGTGTCATCCTGAAGCGGCGGCGAGAAGGTTAACGGTACAATATATAGCTGCTTCGATTCGCGGCATATATTGCCTTCAAAACTGTTGTATTGTCGCATGCAGTTTGTTGTTTGATGTGTAACTCTGTCTAAAATAATTTAAGACCTTGTTGTTGGAATATTATTCTATGGATGCTGTTGTTCGTCAGTGACCGTAGTATATTGGTTTAGGTCCTGATGTAAAACCCGAAAAAGGGTCCCGAAACACAAGAAGCCATAGCGGCCTTTCTTTCTTTCAGCCGGCGCCGCGGCAGCCAGCACTGGAGGAACACTAGACGCCATTGGGCCTGTTTGCTTGGAAGAATTTTAGAGTAATTTGGATGGTTTGAAGAAATGTTAGATGAGTTTGTGAGAGAAAACACTGTTTTAGATAAAAAAAAGCGGGTTCAAACTGAGTTTAAGAACACGCGAACGGAACCATTGGCTAGCCACTAAACCAGATGATGCAGCCACTCAGCAACTAGCGCGCCGTTGGTTGCTGATGATGACCTCCCTCCAAAGACCACCGGCAGAATTATTGGCGGCCGCCCGGGCGGGTGGCTCTGCCGGTAGGGGAATTTCAGCATGTTCGGGAGACCATATCGTATCGTGGATTATTTACTGCTGACTAGTTTAGTGTGAGAGAAAAACATTATTTCTGACTATAAATTTATGATCATTTACGAGCAAACGAACAGGCTGTTTCTTCCGTCCTGGTGCGCATCTGGCCCATGCTGTGTCTCCGTTCCAGCATTATATTCCTGCTTATTTTTCCTTATAGGCCCTGCGTGTACCTTCACGTGCTACGTCATGTGCCAAGAATAGCTAGCTAGCCGGTGGCCTATCTGTCAGTTACAGGCAGCTCTCGTCGTCGTCACGCTGGACTCTGGACCACTCGTGCAAGCAGACAACAGTCAACAGACATGGGTAAAGTCCGTCGCTGATTCAGTACTCCGCGAGATATTTCATCCAGCAGCCAGCTACAGTAGTTCTGGCTACTCATTAAACTGTCTGTTAAACCGTCTCCAACAACCGTAATCCAAAATATAAGACACATTCGTTCTTTAAGTTACGTTACAGGCAAAAGGTTCAATACCTATTTTTTGTCTTCTTTAACAACACGACCCAAAAGACAACCCTTTCTACAAATGGGTCTCCAGGAGAAAGGATACTCAGATTTAGGTTATGCCTCTTCTGCCACCCAAAATAATTCTTCGTACTCCATTAGAGACTATATATATTTTACTGAAGACCTATTTTAAATTTGGGTGTCTCATAGATCTCCTATATTAAAGAGAGCCTTACTCCACTAGACCTGCAGAGACCAGCCCAAGGAAACAAAACAAAAGAAAAGGGTGCAACAGCAGATATAGCTGGACAAGTGTCCTAACTCTTGTCATAACAAAACAAAGCACGAAAAGTTGCGAAAGCCATAAAAAAATCGTTCCCAAAAACAAAACACAAGTCCCCACATTATAATAAAAATAATAAGGAATAGAACAAAGAAAATGCCAGTACATGCCCATGGCAATGTGCCACTGTGTCTGTGTCGTTGCCATCAGTCTCGGTTGACAGGTCAGGTAGACACGTACGAATCCTCACCATCAGCTGGGCCAGATGAAAATTCGCATCGCGCTGCCCGGTGGCCGGTTCCAATCCACAAGCTGCTCTCGCTGCAACTTGTCCCCTCCACTCCACAACGCAAAGTGACAAAGAGGGCAAAAGCGAACCAAATTCTACAGGACTCTTGCCCTCACTCGCAAAAGCGAAATCTAGACGGGACGGCCGCCGGGTCGCTTTTGCAAAAGCCCAAGAGGATTCCACCCGTACCATGAATCTAATCGGTACAACGGCCCTGTTCGCTGAAATTCGGCGGATGTTAAAAAATACTACTAAAATAATGTCGAAGAATAAGACGAACAAAATTTGTACCACAAATCTAAAAACTCGTTTTTGTCATTATGCGACGTGCTATAGGCCTTTAGTAAAAAGCTTTACACAGCACAAATCGCAAAATAATAACAATGCATATTACCAAGTACTAGGATATTACTTAGAGCATAGCCAATAATAAAGCACACTGTTGGCTCTTTGTATAATTAGAGCGCTTTTATCGGCCCACTTATACAGTAGTTACTCATTATTAATATGCGGTTCACTTTCTTCTCTATTATAATAAAGTTTCTTGGAGCTCATACATGAGCTGATTGTAAATTTACATCCCATTTATAGGCTTTTATTATATTTGTTCTTAGGTTATGTATGGATTTGACTAAAATAAGTAGCTAACTGATAAAAAAGTTATAGTTGATCCAAATAACCTAGCTTATAGTCTATTTTAAACTATCCAACCGCCAGTAGCTTATAAAAATCTATTACTTGCCTCTCTCTCTAGCTATTGCAGCATATAAAAAGTTCAGTTCATTCAAACAAAGTATTATTCTATATTTGAACTATTCAACCACCTAGGCCCCGTTTGCTTCGCTGAAAAAATAAGCCGAAATACTGTTTCATCTGATTTGTTGTGAGAGAAAAAACACTTTTGAATAAAAAAACAAGTTAAAAAAGATGGATTATAAAAGAAGCGAACAGATGTTATTATAAAATCAACGGCTAGAGTTGTCTAAATCAACTGCCACTCTTCGTCTGTCACTCACTTCGATCCTTGTCGCTCCTACCCCTACTCTTTCACCACTTGGTTTGACATCTTTCACTTAGTTTGGAGTTAAAAAAAAACTCACCAAAATCACAACACTCATGTGGTGGCCTAGCTGATCAAGTTCGAGCCCATGCGCATCACAACTTGTCAGACACGTGTGGTTAGTAGCCCTCCGTCTTTTATAACCTCATAATAGACACTAGACGCATATTTAACCTGAGTCAATCTTCAATCAATTTTTCATACGAGATTAATCATTTATTGAAGCTATCATTTATTATAGGTTTTACTGTTAAAATATGATTGAGCCAAACTCATAAAATCCAACAAGATACCTGGTTATGGGCCTTACATGTTGCATGTCACATTAGAATGAGCGGCATTTAGTGTATTATTCAACGATGAGTCGTTGGTGGAACTCTTTTTATCTTTGTGCATATCCGGCAATAATTCAGCGATCGAGTGAACCAAATGAAACAGCATCCAATCCGCATCTAACTTGTACAGCCACAACTTGCAACCAATTCCTATTCTATTCTGTAGCTTTTAGCACCATCACGGGCAGATTAACCGGACAATTAACGCTCTTGATTTCTTGAGCAAGCAACATTCTGCAGCCAAGCAAATTTGCAAGAAAGAAAAAGAAAAGAGAATACACCACGGTCTTGTGGCTGACGACGCTAGACTAAAAGGCTAAGGCCCTGTTTGGATTGGAAAAATCACAAAGGATTTTAAATGAATGCATTCCTATGAAAAGTTTTTGAAGATTACTGTTTGGAATGGAGGAAAGATGCATCTCATTCCTAATGAAATGATTCATATGCTGTACAAAACGTAGGAAAAAAAGCATCCACTCAAACTCAATGGAAATCTAATGGCTTGCTTGGTCGCTCGCTCGGTCGCTCAACACGGTCACTCGCGCTTGCATTCACACTGTCACACGGCCAGAGCTCGGGACGGTAAAAAAGTAGAAACATATAGAGAGAGAACGGTCAAGTAAAGAGACTTATGCTTATAGATGAATTAAAAATAATATCCTAAATGACTTGAAAAGCACCTCAACCAGGTTAGGATGGATCAATGGCTATAATCATTGCTTAGAGACATGTGATGATCTAAACCTATTCATGCAATCCAAACGGCTCAAAGTATCTATTCCTGCGTTTTGAAATACTGTAGTTTTTCACCTTTTACTCTACCATATTCTTGTGTTTTTTTCTATTCATCTGTTTTACATTTCTTTGTTCCAAACAACCCATAAAGATTGTGGATTGGAATTAATATATCCTGTACGCCCCCTCTCTTCAAATGTACAATTGGTCAGATGTATGTCCATTGTCCAGGACAGGGATTTGGGGTTTTTTCGATCTACGTGAGAAGAGTTAGAATATCCCAGAGCTATCTAGCCACCGCGGATCGATTTTTTTTATGTCCATTGTCCAGACATGTGCGTGCATAGACTCACCGCATTCATGTGCCTTGGATTGATATGACATCAAGGTCCTGTTCGTTTCTCTTATAATCCGTCTTTTTCAGTTTGTTTTTTTCAGTCGGAATAGTATTTTTCTCTCACAACAAATCAGTCGGAACAATATTTTAGTTTATTTTTTCAGCGAAGCCAACGGGGCCCAAATCAGGAACCGGCACATTGAACCTTGATGTAGGTCTGTTCCATCCCAGCCGAGACCGGAGCCTAGCTTGACTATCGAAAAGAGCAGCAACTAGGAAACAGGCCGACGTTTATAAGACACTTTGACTTTTTTTATAACTACTTTGGTATATATCTGGATATAATATATGTCTAGATATATAGCAAATTCTATGTACTAAAAAAAGTCAAAACGACTTATAATTTAGAACGGAGGGAGTGGCACGCTACATCATGAAAAGAAGTGCACAATGACTATTGATTTTCTTCTCTCTTTTTTGCGCAAGGAAAATGAAGTACAATAGGATTGAATAAAAAGGTGCACAAAAAGTAGGCACAAAAGTATGCACAGGGGAAATATATAACCCGACTTTCACTTTCTCCTCCCCCGTGTTTATTTAAAGCCCAGTTCTCTAAAATCTAAACCTTTGTCACTTTGAAACAAAACAAACCATCACGTCAGAGTAACTCTAGCAGTGACTCTATCTAGACCCCTAAACTCAAATTTGAAGACTTAGGTTAAAAACACACCTCCAACAGGAGTCCTACTCAGACCCCCAAATTTCATCATCCAGTCCTTATTCTTCCTACGGGTGTTCGTTCTCTTTGGCCCTATCCGTCGGTTGACTTGTTTACCCCTTCGGCGTGGCTTCTCCCTCTTCTGACGCCGCGGATTTGAGGACTATTGCTAGAGTTGCTCTAAGCGAGAAGTAAGAAGGATGACGGGTCGTAAGAAAAATCATTTGACGGAGAGCAAAGAAATATACATTCTTGAGAGAAATGTCAAACGCGGTGACTAGATCCAGTAATTTCCATAAGACAAAACAAATTCATCACGATCAATTCAGATGATTAGATTCGTTGCAGTGGAAAATGTCAACGTGAATGCAAGCCTCCAGCCTAGCACTGAATTTTAGGCATGTTTTACCAATTCCGTACAAAGGACGCGTTATAACAAAGATATGTCGCATGTACCCTCTCTCCCTGAATAAATTAATTTCTAGAGTGTTCATATCTCAAACTTTTTTGTATTTGGCTGACATTAAAAAGAGCAATAATATTTGCGAAACCAAATGAGTACATTATGAATGTATGTTTCATGATGTATGTAATGATACAAATTTGGTGTCGTGATTTTTGGCGCCCTTATCTATATTTTGGTCATATTAAAAAATGTTCAACCTAAAACTTTAAAAGTTGATTTATTGAAGAGACAAAGGGAGCATGACAGATGTGTTAGTAGGGAAGGTGTGTATGCATTTCAATTTAGAAAAAAAGATGTTATGTCTCACAAGCTCCAAAGACAAAATATAAGGCGTTGGCCTCAGAAAGGCGTGGACGAAATAAGTACCGCCCCTGCCTTGTCGACCCGGAAGACCCATGCACGAGCACGAAAGCAGTCCGCGCCAGGCGTAGCAATTTTAAAGCCCAACCTCTCTATCCAGCACCCTTCATCGCCTTTAAACTTTATTAAACAAATCACGTAAAGAGAGGAAAAAAATTGAAGGACGAGGGATGAGGACAAAAGAAAAGACATTTGAAGGAGAGCAGGTCCAACATGATCACTAGATTCAGCAATCTAATTTATCCAACGTAGGCGTAGCAATAATGCCGATGCACGTTTTGCCAATACGAGTTTATGTTTACTGCTTGTGTATGTTTATAATAAAGACATGGTGCATTTACTGCTTGTGCACGTTTTGCCAATACGAGTATATCAGCTTCGTTTGTTGGTTTCAGTCAGGACTTATCAACCACTTAACAGTGTTTTTCTTTTACAATAAACCAGCACCAACCGGACTTATCAGCCCAGAAACCAACCAGCGAACATGCCGTATATATTCACTCATTCATGTTTAGAAAAGGAATGCGTGACCTATTAGACGATTACTTGCTCCAACGACAAAAAAAGCTCTCGCGAAATCAAACAATCTTAAGTATAATTGGATCATAAAAAATAATATTAATATTTGTATCTTCAAATATGTTTTTATGAAAAATATTCTCTAATTAATCTAGTGATACTTATTGTTATTGCCCATTGCAAATACTGATATTTTAAATATATTTTGTTAAATTTAAAATTGTTTGTTTTTTAGAAAGGGAGATTTCTTTTTTTCCGCAGGAGTTCGGACGTAGGGATTATTATTATTAGATATAGACATAGAATAAAAAAAATAGGAAATGCGTGGATGAAAATGAGACACTGGCGCTGGCACGGAGAAGCAAACGAACACAACGCAAGGCGCGCCTGGCCGCCAGCCGTGTGCCCGTTCCGTGTCTAACCCGACTTCCTCGTCCCTGAGTCTATTTAAAGCCTCCTCTCATCGCCTTAACCTCCTCTCATCGCCTTTAACTCCGTCATCATCCCAGATCAGGACCACCCGGCGAAGAACAGAGAAAAATATCTCCTCTCTTCCTCTCTCCACCGGATCGGTTTCTCGCGCTTCGTTGTGGGAGGAGAGACCGTGGTGCGCGGAGGGGGCCGAGATTTTGCCGGTTTGGAGCCAGATAGGGGTATGAGCTGCTTCGCGCACCGCCGCTGCTCCGACGTCGCCCGCCGCCAGGACGGCCTCCTCGTCTTCGTCTTCTTCCTCTCGATTCCCATACCTAGTAGTATTTCTAATTTAAGTAGTAGTAATTGTAGTAGTAATCTCTTGTAAACTGCGCTCGCCTTTGCGTTTGCGTGTACGGGGACGGAGGGACCATCTGTGGTTGCTTGTTCCTCTTTCTCATCCTATTCTTCTTCTTCCACGGCGGCTGGAATGGATCCTAATGGCCTCAAAACTGGAGGTATTGAAATTTCGCTTCATCTCTCTGTTTTTTAATGAAATTTATCTCTCTATTTGTATTCTGTATATATACTGTCCCGGACAGAAAGGGGATTTTTTTTGTCCTGTTCTGTTTGTTATCGTTCCGATGAGCTCGTAGATATTTTGTTCTCACCTGATTCCGTATGAATTGAGTGCTGATTACAAATAAATAAATGAAAATTCAGGCCTTTTGCTCCCGACCATTGAGAGGCGGTGCACGTCGCCTCCATCCGTCATTGTCATCGGCGGTGGCATCTCGGGCGTTGCAGCTGCCCGTGCCCTCTCCAATTCTTCATTCAAGGTAACTGATCACTCACGGTTTTTCATCTACAAGTGATTCAGTACATGTGGTAGTGTTGCGTGCTCACTCATAGAGTCATATGGGGACACGTTTTAATTAATTAATTAATGTTACTGAATTTGATTCCGCATGATCAGGTGACTGTTTTGGAGTCGAGAGATCGTATTGGTGGGCGTGTTCATACTGATTACTCATTTGGATGTCCAATTGATATGGGAGCCTCATGGTTTGTTGCCTTCACTCAAATTGCTTAACACAAGACACGACCACTGAAGTTTCTGCCCGTGTAAGCTCTTACTTACTTTTCTGTTGTTTTTGTCAAATTCAGGCTACACGGCGTGTGTAATGAGAATTCATTGGCACCATTGATCGGCTATCTTGGGCTGAGGTTATATCGCACAAGCGATGACAACTCAGTTCTGTATGATCATGATTTAGAAAGGTACTACCTAATATCCCGTACACTTAAAAGTTAAAATTCGTTTCCCATGCTAGTTTGTTCTTGCATCTCATTGTGTTCATTGATCCCTCTGCAGCTATGCTCTCTTCGATAAGGATGGTAATCAGGTCCCAAAGGAGACAGTTGATAAAGTTGGAGAAACATTTGAGAGAATTCTTGAAGAGGTACATAGTGAATTCTTTCATGCGATGTACTTTTTGGTACTTCTTTAAGAGCAATTTCAGCCCACTCTATCTATGGTACGTATTGCATTACAGACGGTTAAAGTGCGTGATGAGCAGGAACATGACATGCCACTGCTACAGGCAATTTCTATTGTGTTTGAGAGGCACCCCCATCTAAAGTAATTTTTCTTGTACCACAGTGTCATGTGTTATAACTGAATATAATTCATGAAAGCTGCTCGTGCGATAGTACTTGACTGATATGGTTGCCACTTTGTAGGCTAGAAGGGCTAGATGATCAGGTCTTGCAATGGTGTGTCTGCCGGCTTGAGGCATGGTTTGCTGCAGATGCAGATGAAATATCTCTGAAGAACTGGGATCAGGTTCGTGCTTGCACTGGAGCAAAGTGAAAGCCAACCATCTAGTCAAAATTTTCCTGTTTCCCACGTTTTTCCTGTGAAATTAAACTGATTTCCGTGAGATTCCTGTTGGACTCCTATGAAATTCCTGCATTTCGAAGGGTCCCTTAGAAATTTAAGTTCTCTACTAGGATAGAATTTGGCAGGTTAATTTAAGTTGTTTCAGTCGTACTAACCTTTCATCCCTTTTTGATCTGCAGGAGCGTGTTCTTACTGGTGGACATGGACTGATGGTAAATGGATACTATCCTGTTATTGAAGCTCTTGCTCAAGGTCTTGACATCAGGCTTAACCAAAGGTTTGTTTTTTTCAAACATTTTATATTGCTGGATCTGGATTTTTACTCTTGCCAAGCATGGTACTCATGGTTCCAGGGAAATTTTAGTTGGTGACAGAGCACTAGCAAATATAAGCATTTGAATCTTCATTCTGTCTTGAAAGGAATTACCACAGTTCTATTTTTTACTTTATCCAGTTATAAATAAATTTGCTTACTTTGTTTGAATGATGATGATATTCAGGGTCACTGAAATTACTCGTCAGTACAATGGAGTCAAGGTCACTACTGAAGATGGCACAAGCTACTTCGCTGACGCTTGCATAATCTCTGTGCCACTCGGTGTTCTCAAGGCGAACATAATAAAGTTCGAACCTGAACTGCCCTCATGGAAGAGCTCTGCCATCGCGAACCTCGGCGTCGGTGTTGAGAACAAGATCGCAATGCACTTTGACAGGGTCTTCTGGCCCAATGTTGAGGTGCTGGGAATGGTTGGGCCGACACCTAAAGCGTGTGGGTACTTCCTGAACCTGCACAAAGCCACCGGCAACCCGGTCCTCGTCTACATGGCTGCTGGAAGGTTTGCCCAGGAAGTGGAGAAACTGTCGGACAAGGAAGCCGTCAGCTTGGTCGTTTCTCACCTGAAGAAGATGCTTCCAGATGCCACCGAACCAGTATGTTGCCGTTGCGCATGACTGTTGTTGCATTCTACTTGGGTTATAAGGGTTAAGGCAAATTTCTGAATGTTTATTCATGTGGCTGACACATTTGCATTTGTTGGTGATGTCTTACTGTTGCAGACGCAGTACCTGGTGTCACGCTGGGGCTCCGACCCGAACTCTCTGGGGTCCTACTCGTGCGACCTGGTCGGGAAGCCGGCCGACGTGTGCGCGAGGTTCTCCGCCCCCGTGGAGAACCTGTACTTCGCCGGCGAGGCGGCCAGCGCCGAGCACTCGGGGTCGGTGCACGGCGCGTACTCGTCGGGCATTGCCGCTGCCGAAGAATGCAGGAAGCGCCTCCTGACGCTGAAGGGCATCCCGGACCTGGTCCAGGTCGCGGCGTGGGAGGAGATGGCCGGAGCTGTGGCTCCCCTGCAGATTTGCAGGACCTGACTACCTGAGTGAGCTCGATCAGTGATTCAGTGGCGACCTTGGAGTGGTTTGATCGCTTCGCTGCTTCTTGACGACTGCGAAGTCTTTTGTATTGTGTGATGTTTTTATATTATCTTGAACGTGTGTATTGCCTGGAATAAGTCAAGATCGACTGGTATTGAACTCAAGTGTTATTACGTTACTCTTTCATACGTACTTAAGAAATTATTATGAGTCCTTAATTCAAAGATATACATTGTCCTGATATATCTAGTTTTGAGTCCTATTCCAAAATTATATTAGCTAAAGCATGTCTGTATGTATACGATGGTTGTTCGTTCTCTCGTTAGCTGTGTGCTTGTTAGTTGTTGTTACTGGTACAAAATGAGCTGTTGAGCGAGAGCAAGATGTAACGTTACACGCGATAGCTGACGCTCGACCAACCTTGCCCTTGCCAAAGACAGGCACGTGCACCTTCCCATGATCCAGGTCAAAGACAACAGTAGGCCTGGTGGCCGGGGTGTTTTGTCCTTTTCTTTTCTTCTGTTTGTTTTTCTTGGATTTGAACTATTTCCTCTTCTTCTTATAATAATAATAATAATAATAATAATAATAATAATAATATAAAGGGGTGCAATTTTCTTCCGTATAAAAAAAGCACGATAGCAAGCAAATTCAAATTCGCTAGATTCACAACAAAAATTAAACTTTGTCATAAAATTTGACAAGTTTATAGCTAAAAAAATAGCACTCACCAAGTGGAGTTCAATGCTTTGCAAATTTCTTATAAAAAAAGACTGCATGGTAATTCATTCTTGACTCGAGTCGGTGAATACTTAGCACGTACTACTTCTCAGCCTTTTTTTTTTAAAAAAAATGAAAGATTGAATGGCAGGGCGTTCAAATTAAACTTATCTAATTTTATTTAAATTTACTAAAAAAATATATCAACATATATATAGAATAAAAAAAGGGAAGGGAGTGTCTTGCGTGCCTATCATTTTCCAACTCGCAATGCTCCTGCTGATGCCACGACCCACGACTCCACGACTACTATCCCAGGTATGCTCGGGCATGTCCATGTCGTCACACGGGCTCAAGAGCAAAATACTCCGGTGCCAGTAGCATCTAGAGCCACTAGTGCATTTGCTTCGTTTTTTCTTTCTTCAAATTGACCGAAATTCGCTGGTGCCTGTGCGTTTCCTATTCTATCTCCGTCACCCTTTTTCCTCCCTTCCCCCTCCCCCACCTTCTTCTTCCTCCTCCCGTCCCCGACGGCGTGCTTCCTACTGCCGCCGTCGGCGAGCTGCTCATCCGCAGCATGACTCCACATCCTGGCCGCCTCGTCCTACCTCCGGCGGCTGCTTCTCCCTGAATCCCGCTGCCCGTCATCCACCACGCCGCCTCTGCTAGCACGCGGGCCTCTGCCGCACCGCGCGGCTTCCAGACGCCTCGCTCGTCCATCCTCTCCTCCTCCCTCCGCGGGCTAAAGTTCGGCCCCGCTCCGTCGAGCTCCCTCCGCTGTTCCGGGTGAGTCTACGCGCCACCTCCTCGTCCGGCGGAGTCCTTGTCGATTTTAGGCGCGCGCCCCTCCGCCGGCGAGTTGTGCTGCGCGGACGCGGTTCGCGGATCCGGCGGCCGGATCTGCGCCGTCCTTACTGCCGGCCTGTTCCCTCTCCTCGCGGCTGGGCGCACACCCCCTACTCCACTACCTACTTTTCCTGGGCCGCGTGGAGTGGATTGGAGACCAGGGTTGGCCCTCCGCCGGCCGCCCAGATCCTCCCCGCCCTCACCTCTTTTACTCCTCTTGCTGCAGATCTGCTGGAGCGCCAGCAAGGCGGCCTCGCCGTCCCTCCGGAGTCCGGAGCAGCAAGGTAAGGCCTGCTCGTTCTGTGCCCTCGCCTAGTCGCCCCTTGGCCCTTTGGTTTTGCTTTGAAAAAAATGCTAGCAGCCGGCGGTTACAAGGATGCAACACAAGTCATCAGGCCTGTATATAGAATTATGGACCCCCAAATTAGTTAGTGTTATTAGTAAGCATTTAAGTGCAGTTGCCCATTATTAGCAAAGTGGGTGAAAGACTAGAAGCAGCACTAGTGCAGGCCACCAGCATTTAAAGTTTATGAACCCGAAATTTCAAAACCTTAAGGGCATGTACAACCCAGGGGTCCGTCTCTAAGCACCTCGAATCTATCATACAGACGGGTATAAAGACAAGTCATACAACTCACAGACAGACAGAGGGTCCGTCTATCATACAGACGGGTATAAAGACAAGTCATACAACTCACAAACAGACAGAGGGTCCGTCTCTAAGCTGTTTAATGCTTTGCATGTAGCTAGGATCAACTATAAATAAATTTTGTATACCATTGTGTGGCTATTTGATAGAAAATGTATCAAGGATAAATAAGAGCAACATGATTACACTCACTAATGCTTCAGTAACGCATGGGAGACATTTAACTGGGAAATTCAGATAGCAGTAACATGGTCACACAAAAATTTAACTGGGAAGCATTCAGATAGCAATCACATGTTCACACAGAAAGATAGCAGAAATTTAACTGGGAAGCATTCAAATAGCATTCAGATAGCAGTCACTAGTAGATGACATTCAGATAATAACTAGTAGATAACAGATAGATCACACCATCAGGTAGGTCACAACTCATCCTCTGCACAGAAAAATTGTAGAACATATCATCACGTAGATCACACCATGTCCTGCAAAATTGAGAGATAATTCTTAAATCAAAATTGCGAGATGAAGTCAAGAGCACTAGCTCTGTTCAGATAGCATTCAGATAGTAGTTTCAGACAGCAGTTCACAGTCAGAATTCAGAAAATAGCAGTTCAGATAGCATTCAGATAGCAGTGCCGAAGTCTGACAGTTCAGATAGCAGTGTCGCCCGCACGTTTTCAGAATGGCTGACAGTAGTATGAGCAAACATAAATAGTGACTGAAATTACTGTAAATCAAGGAATACAAGCTGAATAATTTTTTTATAGGGCAAACTAAAGTAATTGAAACTAAAGTAATTTACTACAGGTAGGACAAAATCATTTGCAAACTAATGATTTACTAGCTCTGTATAACAAAAGTAACAGATATGATCAATTCTGTTTTCAGAAAAAATTCACCAAAGCAAACACACATGAGCAATTCTGTTTTTAGAAAAAAATCATATGCTAATGGAAGCAACAGATATGATTTTCCTGGAACTGTGAAGAGCCAAGTGCATTGTGATTACATCAAACATAGATAGCAGCTGAAATTACTGTAAATCAAAGAATAGAAGTTGAATAACTTTTTTTCACAGGACAAACACACATCAGTTAAAACTTCTTTTACTGGTAATTTTTGGGTCCTCTTTTGAATTGCAGACATCTTAATTGGAAACCTCTCTAAGCTATTAGTACTTTCGTAGCAGGAGACAACAACTTAATTGGCGGACTTCCTGCTAGTGTATCAAATTTAACTAGCCTCCAAACCATATATCTCACAGGCAACAAACTGAACAGGCCGATCCCAGAATCAGTTGTGAACTAATGATTTACTCACAGACTTAATTGAAATACTCACAGACTTAATCGAAATAATCTTCTAGTGCATCTTAACTAGGATTGAACAACAACAACAACAACAACAACAACAACAACATAGCCTTTCAGTCCCAAGCAAGTTGGGGTAGGCTTTAACTAGGATTGAAAATTGAAATAATCCCAAACTTATAGACACAGATCCACGAGTTTTAAGTGAGTACCATGATGCATCCCAAGCTGCCGAACGCCCAAATCTAGGAGAAGAAGGATCACCGTCGGCGCCGAGCCGCCACAACGACCCAGGGAGAGAGCCGTCAGCGCCAAGCAGCCACCGCGGCCGTGACCGAGGGTATGGGCTAGGGCCGCCGCTGCCGCTGCCGCCGCAGCCAACGCCGACGGTGACGAGCCCTTCTTCCTAGCTGCGGGCGGCATGGACATCTCGGCGCACCAAATCGGAGACGAGGACAGTGCGAGATGAAGATGGATTTGGGGAAAAGTGAGGATGCGGGGATATATGAAGGTGGAGATGGATTTGGCGCGGAAAAATCCCGCGCGCGCCCAAATCGACTGCTGCTGCGAGCGCGGCTGCTGCCCGCGCGGGATCCGAGCGCGCCGTCGCCTGTAGGAGACGAGGCCGTACAACGGAGCCGCGGTCGTCTGTTCCGCATCGGAGCACGGGACAGGGCCGTCGCCTCGCGAGGCGACAATGCGCCCGTCTCTCGGCTGAGCTGGGGGGTTTTCTGAAAAAGGGCCATCACCGAGACGAGAAAAAGACGCCCGTTGTACGTGCCCTAACCTTCTGACTTGATACTACGACTACTTGATGAACTTGTGACAGTAGCGCTTGATTAATCGTGATAATACTATGGGAAATACATTTCAAATAATACTACATTGATGATCTGTTTTCAGTGTGCTTAAGATAGCGATATTAAGGATACAAAACATAAAAAAGGTCACAATCTAGGAAATTTGTCCCACTCTCTCCTTGCCATTCCCTCTTTCTCTCTCCAGACTACAAGACAACAAGCAAGGGTGCCCTGCACTCCTACTGGCCACTGGATTGGTGGTCTCTGTGCGCTCACATCAACTACTTGCCATAGTCTTGGCTCCTCCGCTGGCCGTGGCGTTCCACTGCCTGGCGCCACTCCGCTCCCAGTCCCCGGTAGCACTCCTCCAAGGCAAACCAAGAGAGCGGTAGAGAGACGACCGGTCGAAAGGTGTATGAGGAGTTAGGAATATGAGACGGCCAGAGAGAGAGGTCCCTGGCTTTCCCCTTTATCGCTGTTGCTGGATCCTCCGCCCACCATTGTGGCTGCTCCTCTTGTGGTCAAGTGGAGTGGCGGCGGAGATCTGTCTGTGCGGTCTTTAGTTGGGTTTCCCTTTTGCTGGTGACTAATCAGTCCATCATATCTTTGCTGTCTTGGATGGATTATTTCAGTTTGTGCAATAGCTGGATTGGTGCTCCCAATCAGATCCAAATCTTTCACCTGTCTTCCCCACAGTGGTTGTGAACTCGTGTGCTGCACAGGTGATTTGTGACAGCTAGGCTGAATCCGTTCATTCATAGTTCCATTAGATTCTTTGTTTTGTTTTCTTGAACCAAAAATCGATACTAGTTCATGCCCGCCCATGGGAACCCAATTAAGCTGGGAACTGGGGAGCTAGTGCAGCTTTCCCGAAAACATTGGGGTTTAAAAAATGATGTAGGATTTAGGTCAACTTTTACTCCCTTCCCTTGTGCTAGTAAGGTTTATAGGTTTATTACATTCTGTATAGAAAATTGGATTAGGGTGTTCATTTACTGATTAGGTATCATGCTAGCTAATGTTTACATTGTAGAGCAAAAGTATATTTATAAAATGGACGCTCTTTTTTGTTTCTGATTGGGGTTATGATAAGTTGATAACTGGAACACCGACTACCTCTAGTTTTCCAGATCAATGTTGAGGTTTTTTTTTTTTTTTTTTTGAGACTTAGATCAATGTTGAGGTTAGGCACCTTATTTAGTTATTACGCTGTGATTTGTGTGGTGGAGATCCACATGGAAAGATATGTGCTAGGGAGTAGGGAATACAAGCAAATGATCGTTAAGGATCCTGCATCTACTTACTGGTGCGAATTTGCGATAGTCAATGTGTTTCCTGTTTTGTGGGAGCTTGCATGTTGGCAACTTTAATATTCTGTGAAGAATTCAAAACTCGTAAAGTTTCTCCATTTTGCAGCTCATCAGTTCTCCCCCCTTAGATACATGCATTTCCAAGATGGTCTACGATAGTACTGTAGGTATTCGAGGCATATCAAACAATTTTTCATCACTATATGTATTCATACCTTTCAATTTTCTCTGGGCAAGTTATCTATTCAAGTTTGGTCTATCATGGCACCTGTCCATTTGTTTTACCCTCCAATGTTATAGGTATCTTAGCTCCATTTTGAGTTTTTGATTAATAAAAGAGGATAAGATATGCTCTAGTTGCATGCCTTATCTTCCCAAGTTCAACATTGATTAATCCGTAGAATAGGAGACGACGTGGATCCTTGATATTCTGCATGTTTCTACTGAATTCATGCTTCCCTTGTGCACTTTTACTGGTAATATTTACCACTATAGTCTTCATGATATATCATTCTTCCAGCTGTTGTTATTCCACTGGGAGGAATGGTACGTCTAGAGAACTTTGCACTTATTCTCTGCAAAGATAACTTTATTCTTTTAACATCATTCCTATTGCAGCGCCTTTTGGTGCTGGCTGCACGCAACCATTTTTTTACTTATTTTCTTAGACAATGCGCTGAGGTGCTGTGATATTAGTTTTATATTCTCTCTGATTCGTGAACTTGTAGGTTTAATTCTTGATGAGCCATTTTCTGTTGATGAGCTATGGATTTCTTTTTTTCCTGCATCAATTTTAAAACAGAGTTAATACCTATTTTTTTCATCTTCAGGGTTCTGCTCTCTCATGCCGCAGTTTTACAACGTTGAAGGCTTCAAAAATCTACAGAACTAGATGATACTTGCATAATGCAGCCCTCAGATATTTGGAAGGCGCATGCTGGTTCATCACAGTCAAAGGGTTCGGGTCTGGATATGGAGAGGAACGGATGCAGTCATAATTATTGTCCATCTCCTCTCCAACCGATTGCCTCAGCTGGTCAGCACTCTGAAAGCAGCGCTGCATACTTTTCTTGGCCTACATCTACTCTAATGCACGGCTCAGCTGAAGGCCGTGCTAACTACTTTGGGAATCTACAGAAAGGTGTACTACCAGGACATCTTGGTCGCTTGCCAAAGGGCCAGCAAGCCACCACCTTACTTGATTTAATGATTATAAGAGCATTCCACAGCAAGATCCTCCGTCGGTTTAGTCTTGGTACAGCAATAGGCTTTAGAATCAGGAAAGGAACATTGACTGACACACCTGCCATCCTTGTGTTTGTTGCTCGAAAGGTTCACAGGAAGTGGCTCAGCCCTACTCAATGTCTTCCAGCTGCCCTTGAGGTAGGCATTATTTTGTTTCATGTAGTTTACAAAGTTATTTAAGCCATCTGAAATCACATTCAGTTTCGTTGCATTCCATAAACAGGGACCTGGGGGGGTGTGGTGTGATGTTGATGTTGTTGAATTTTCTTATTATGGTGCACCAGCCCCGACACCAAAGGAACAACTTTATGATGAGCTCGTTGATGGATTGCGTGGTAGCGACCCTATTGTAGGCTCAGGTTCACAGGTAACATTCTTTTGTTCTCTTATACGCTGCATCTTGTTTGGACTGCTTCATTACTTGACCACCTTTCTTTTTTCATCAAATGGCATGCTTTGCTATAATCATACAATGACCGGTCTTACTGCAGGTCTGCAGTGTTTCCTTTTGCATCAAAATCACTTGGACATCAGCTAAGAGTTGTCTTTTTTTTTGTTTCAATCTATAGGTGGCTAGTCTTGAGACCTATGGGACTTTGGGTGCCATTGTGAAGAGTCGAACCGGCAATAAGCAAGTTGGGTTCCTTACAAACAGGCATGTTGCGGTTGATCTGGATTATCCCAACCAGAAGATGTTCCATCCGCTGCCTCCTAATCTTGGACCTGGAGTTTACCTAGGTGCTGTTGAGAGAGCAACATCATTTATAACAGATGATGTTTGGTACGGGATCTACGCAGGAACAAACCCAGGTATGATGTCAATAATAGCTCTGGTCAAGCTTTTGCACTTTATGGCATTCCCCACTGCTCATTTCAGTGTTTACTTCGACTTTTATTGTGATATACATTTTTTCTTCAGGGTATATTGATATCCTTATCCTCATGTCCTCTACGTTGTAATGTGACTGCAGAAACTTTTGTCCGAGCTGATGGTGCATTTATACCGTTTGCTGATGACTTTGACACTACTAGTGTCAGCACCTCGGTTAAAGGAGTTGGAGTCATTGGTGATGTAAAGGCAATTGATTTGCAATCCCCAATTGGCAGTCTCATCGGGAGACAAGTTGTCAAAGTTGGAAGAAGTTCTGGTCTGACGACAGGGACTGTTGTCGCATACGCACTTGAGTACAATGATGAGAAGGGAATATGCTTCTTCACTGACTTTCTTGTTGTTGGGGAGAACCAACAAACGTTTGATCTTGAAGGGGACAGTGGAAGCCTCATAATCTTAACAGGACAAGACGGTGAGAAGCCGCAGCCTATAGGGATTATATGGGGCGGTACAGCTAATCGGGGAAGGTTGAAACTTAAAAGTGGCCAGGGTCCGGAGAACTGGACAAGTGGAGTTGATCTTGGCCGCCTTCTTGATCTCTTGGAGCTAGATCTGATCACAACAAGTGAAGGGCTACAAGGTTGTTTTTCCCAGCCAAAAGTCTCAATCAAAATTAAATATGTTAGGTCTTGTTTGTAGTATCATCTTCGTTTCCTCTGATGGTGATTTTGTTCTTTTGTACACAGCTGCCTTGGATGAACAAAAGATTATTTTAGCTGCTGCTGCCGCTGTGGCTAATAATTCAACTGCCACAGAATCGTCACCTGTTGCTGGCCCTCAAGAGAATGATAAAATCGACAAAATCTATGAGCCTCTCGGCATCAACATCATTCCCCGAGATGGTTCTGCCATATCAACGGACCAACCCAACGAGAATATGGAAGAGCTAAACCTAATGTCTCCTATGCGCAACGGTGAAGAAGGCAATGGTGACTTGAATAACTTGGTGGACTTGGAATTGGAAAATTCACCTGATGGTATTTCTATTGCTCTGAACCTGGGAGAGCGGGAGCCAAAAAGACTCCGCACTGATTCTGATTCAACGCCGGACATAGACTTGCAGAAATGAGGCTTCTATGCTGCAGACGTGTTGCAGGAGGCTCCACATTATTCTTATTCAGCTTTTGTATTGATCATTGAAGGTATGGCCACAAAGGAAATAATCTGTTTCTGGACGACTGGACCTGTTGTCCTGCTTGGAGCCGGTCTGGGTTCAGCTGTGAAGCTCCTGAAGCCCGTTGCTCCTGCAGTTTTGCGTCTAGTGTCTAGTATATGTAGTGTTGCGTAAGGTCTCGGCACCTCAATTAGACAGAGGCGCCATATTTCTTGCCCATGTAATGTTGTCATTTGTTGTATGCTCGTGTATGTCCTACATGAAGCATTGTAAAATTGAGCAACAGCAACCAGAGCTCGAGAATCTTAGGCGCAACCAACCAACCCCGTACCTGATGAATTGACAATAAAGCTGAATATTTTAGGTGTTTGGAAAGTGGTTACTCTTGGAATTTTGGGGTGAGTTTTGGATACAGACTCTCTGATTCAGGCAGGCCCTTGTTGTCGTCCTGGTTTGCCTGATCAAACGACCTGCTGGCTAAGGTTTGGACAGAGCAGACACTCTAGCTGGTTGAGTTCTCAGTAGTTCCTAGTGAACGTGCCCTCTGGTCACAAATTAAAAGTACTCATTGTTTTCGTCAAAATCACTCGAACTTTTCAAAGTTTTGAAAATATTTAGTTTCGAAACAGAGCCGTGTCATGTGTATGTAGGTTTGTCTTGAAAGCTAGTTTTGTACTTCGTAAAATCATGCTTATTAGATATTATATTTATATTATAATATTAAAAATAAAAAAATAATGGTACTCGCACCGTTGAAACCCAAAGGCCATAGAAGGTCAACAGCGATATTAGAAAATTATGTATGATATGACTGGAGGAAGTGTTCATAAAAAGACATGATTTCTTAGCAAATAGTCCCTCCGTTTGTAACATAACATTATTAGAAAGGCGAATGTCATCTCTCTAGGACAAGACTTGCCTACAATTTTTTCTTTTATTTATATATGTCTTTTGGAATGCAGATTGATTCTATCAGATTTGCAGTGAAAAATAGTAGCTCATGATTATGTCATTGTATCATATAAGTGATATTAATGGAGTAATTTTCGGTTAAAGTCTCGCACAACGACACAAAAACACACGTATGCTAATTTCAGGAGGGGGAAGCACGTATATTTGACATACTCCAGTCCTAGACATGGTGGATTTAATAGAACTAATATGATGCTATAGTCAGTGTAGGTTTTCTATAAATTTGATTAAAGTTGGAGAAGCTTGACACGTGGTGTCAGAGTAGGCCGCATGCATTTTATTTATTGGATGTATTTTCAGTAAAGGGCAAAATTCCCTTTTTCTTTTTTCCTTCCCGGGCGCACAGCTGGGTTTGACAATCGAACAGGCAGAATCCGGAAGACTAGCACCATGGGCGCGCTCCGCTGCGCCTGCTCTGGTTCGCAGCCTGTGATTGCGGTGAAGAATTGTGATTATAAATGCTCTCGTTGAATAAGAAGCGGTGATTAGAAATGTTAAAACAATGGTGGATTGGATGGCACCGATGTGTGCCGTTCAAAGCATCGAGTGTCCTGTGCGCTGTTTGTTTTTGCCGTGGCTCTAGATTGGAAGTGTTAGATTGATTAATTGACTAATTGATACTACCTTTATACCATTTTGCAGCATATATACGTAATACATATGACACTGCCTTGACCTGAATTCAAAACTTCAGAGCAAGACAATTGTACTCATTGCAGTGACCAATTAGGTTGAAACTAACTCAAAACATTTTTGGAAGCAAACTAAACGATGCATGCTAGAGCCTATGAGAAGAGAGCAACCTGTAACATAACTTGGCAAATGCATCCATAGAAATATGTTACCATGGGACAGCATTGAAAATGAGATGCAGATCGAAATGAATTTCTAACCCGGCCATAGGAAAGAAGAAAATGGTCATTACATACGGATGACTATTTTTAAACTAAAAATGGAAAACTTTTAACAACCTTTTCTTCTCTAACCACTCAGAGGCAGCCATTAGTCGATACATGAAAACTAAAGGGAATCCTATTAGGTGTAGCCAGTAAAATGTTTTCCTCATCTGGTGCAAGGAGCATATCAAGTGCACAGTAGTAAGATCCTATACAGTGAAATAGCTATCTTGAACAAAGAGGTTCTCCATATAGACATTGTGAATCGCCTAATCAGGTAGCACATTATATCCTAAAAAAGGTAGATTGGTAAGGAGATAACATGGGATGAAAAGAACTCAACACTCTGCACGATGCTAAACAATTCAGGTTGGAGTAATCTCCACTGTTTTTCACTTATCTGATGGTAGGAGACCTCTGCATATATGAACACAAAAGTTAGTTTCTTGTGCAGCATCGCTTTGTAACGCTTCAGTGACATAAGATACCATTTATATTAACATTTAGGGATATCATCTCTCAGCTTAAGTACACATTTATTATCCACAAAAGGCATATGTAGTCTTCTGCTGTGAAAACATGAGCATATAACTAAATGGTAACCTATAAGGCACTACTGGCTTCAGAAGTAAAGCAATACTGAATATGAATCTCAATATTCAGGCTGCAATAGAAATTGTGAATCCTCTATTGTAAAATACAATGTACACCTAAAGTGACGCACTACAGAATACCTAATGACTAATGAGGCAACGTTGGAGGTTAATTAAAGAAATAGCTTGAATAAGGCCAGCAGTTAAATTAAAGGTAAAATAGAATAAACATGGAAAGGCAAGGAGAAGAAATATGTACAGTCGACCCCGGTTCCAGGAAGGTTCGCGTGTTTTTCGGGCAAGTGTCATGGCAGAAAAAATGCTGCGAACAAACCAAATAAAACCACTACACCAAACTGTACTGAACTTATCAATAAAGAACTCCGGTCGATAAATGATACTAAGTACAGAAATAGGAATTGTTCTCTGTAGTAGGCAAAATTCATCGTGTAATCCTTGTCTTTGTAGCCAAACATGCTACCTATATTCATCCTATATCAATTTACGTAGAAGATTAGAGCGATAGAATGGGATCTGCATTTCAGCATGGTGACTTATTCAGTTGCTTCTTCCTTTTGAAGGAAAAAGATCTGGATAACTTGGCCAATGCAAAATAGTATATGGTCTAGAATTACATGTTTGAATAGGAAATAGGACGTTGGAATTTGTTTGAGCTGTAACAGTCCTATTGTAGGTTGCATCAAAATTTGGACTCATAATTCATAAACAGTACTTAAGGAGACCTAGCTAGAAGGATGACTAACTGTAGAACAAATGAACAAAGAATATAGAGTTCTTTTGCAAAGTAAAATAGGGATGAGAGCTGAGCATAGAAACATGGTTGTAGCGTAGAACCAACCAATCAATCATCAAAGCAACCAATGAAATACGTATATAGAGAACAGAAGGACGTATAACACCGATGAGAATTAAACTGAGCAAAAGGGTTAACATTTTTAAGATTTACCATGTAGTATAGAATGAAGTGTAACACATTAGAAGGATATAGATTATAATACATTATGTAGCTTTGTGCTAAGGGGTGAAGCTTTAACCTGCAATAGCAGCAGTCTGTCAGGACACCAATATGTAGCAGAGTTGTATTGTGGTAAATAAAAAATAAAAACATATTTAGCTGATAGTGCAAGAAACTGAATATACATGAGAATATCTATAGAAGCTTAAGCTGATATGACATATCACTGAAAATTTCATAGTACAGAACATCATGTGCTGTAGTTTCGTATTAAGAGAAATTGATTCTCAATAAGGCTCTATTTGAAAGGCAATTGGGGCTAGTGAAGACAGATACAATAGCTGCATTTGTTTCCCCATGCTGCTGTGTGCAGCCATACCAACAGCGGTACTACAATGACGTTTAGACTCGAAGATGCGACACAGGACTATTTCCTTTAATGAGAAGTTGAGAACTACCTGTGAGAGAGATTTAGGATCGACATGAGCTATAGCAACATCTATTTCTGCATGTCTGGCAGGTCCAAGAATACATGTGAAATTACTGTTCTGTCAACACATGCGAGAAGAAACATATTACTGGATGAGATACGAAATGCATAACACTTTTTCCAAAAGAAAACACTACAAATAAACTGACCAGCTTTCCTGTGATTTGCATCAGTTCTGACATTTTCCACATGCTCAAGAACCAATAAATGTTTCTAGAGCTGGAACCATATAATCTAGTATCCGGAAGAACCTGAAAAGAGCAGCCAGGATAATGGAAACAGATGTTAATAGAACCCAGAAAGTGACACTTCGAAAACAAACACAGGTATCATAGCGCCGAGAGCCGAACCAGAAGACACCTCAATTCCAGGTCCAACATATTCCCCACCATAGGTGGCACGCACATTCGCACAACATGCACAAAAGGGGGGAATGAAACATCAGAGAACGCGAAATAAAAATGGAAAGAAGCACAATCCTTATTGGCAACTGGACACAACAAATCCACAGGTCAGTCATCAGTATTTCCACGGCCAGCAAACCCTTGAGGTCCACGATGAAAGGAACGACAATAAAAAAATCCAAACCAAAAAAAAAGCAAGAACACTACATAGAGCGTCCAGCGTTCTTGCTTAAGTATAAAGAGCAAATAGGCAAACCCCACTGCAGAATAAAGCAATCCAGCGTAACCCGACAGCATAGAGCACGGACCATCTAGTGTACTGGCGCCGTAAAATCAACCGAACTGAGAACCCAACAGGAACACAGAGCAGCCAAAGCGAGCAGATGCGCCGGCGGACGCGGACCAAGGAAAGGAACAGCCAGGTGTACCCTAGAAGGCGACGATTCACGGCGAAGGCGGAATGGAACGAACAGGCTTACCCGGCGGCGCGAGGAATGAAGTTGGCTGGGATTGACGGAGAGGTCGACAGAAGAGCCTGGTAGATGGATCGGGGAAAGGAAGATCTCGTTGATGAACCCACCAGATCCTGATGATTGCCGGCGGCGGTGGAAAAGGACGAGGCGGGGCGACTGCCGGCGTCGCGGGCTATGGCCTCCAGCCCTCCATCCCCAAAGGAGGGGAAGGAAGTGGAGGAAGCAGTCGCGACATCGCCGCCGAGGGAGGATGACGGAGCGAGAGCGAGAAGGACGGGACGCGACGGACGGAGCGAGGAGGGCAGACGCGTCTGACGTGATTTGTTTGCTGGGCTCGCTTTTGAACCGTTTTTTCCGCTTTGTAAAAGCACATGAATTTGGCGTTATCAAACTCAATTGAATTTGGCGTGGGGTCATCTACAGTAGCAGCGAACATTGCATGATGCTCTGGGAGACCGACGATTTTCTTGTGGACGAGGGTTCCATGTGGTGACGTGGATCTCTCCTCCACCGGTCCTCCCAGACGACGTCACGACGACAGTTTCCAATTCAGCACGTGACACTACCGGTGTGAGCCGACGCGCGGGTCCCACCACCTGTGGCCCACTCGTCATTGAAATAAAGCACATGTCCCTACACCCCTCCGCTCTTCTCTCCCGTGCGTGTCGAAGTCGAACTCAAACACGGAAGTCACGAACGCGCGACAAAAAAGAAAGAAAACCCCGAGAAATATCTCTGCGTCCCTGCTCGTCTGGTCCCCCGAGCCGAGCCGGCGAGATGGCGGGGATCTCTCGCGCGATCCGGGCCTGCGCCGCCGCGTCCCGGCGGACCCTGGCCGCTGCTTCGGGGGCGGCACTGCCGAAGGAGGAGGCGGCGGCGGCGGCGGCGGCGGGGGTGAGAGCGGCGGCGACCGGGCGCAGGGGGCGGGATCAGGAGGACGGGAGGCGCGTGCAGTGGGTGTTCCTCGGGTGCCCCGGGGTGGGCAAGGGCACCTACGCCAGCCGCCTCTCGCAGCTGCTCGGCGTCCCGCACATCGCCACCGGCGACCTCGTCCGCGACGCCCTGGCCTCCCCTGGCCCCTTCTCGAAGAAGGTATAAATCTCAGCCTCAGTGAATTACCTGGTCCTGAGATAGGTTGGGTTGATGGATCCGGTGCGTCATCTTCTAGTTCGCTAGTAAGCTCCAACCTCCAAGTAATCATGTTGCGTGCGCCATGGATCATTGTTGGCTTTGTTGCTCTACTAGCCCCCTGCTGTACCATTCATTGGATCGTCGCCGCACGTCACCACTGAAACTAGTGTCTCTTTGCATTGCACTTGCATGCGTTCTGCTAGCATTGCATATCGATAAACCGTGGTAGTGCATAGATAGGAAGCACCACAGCTCACGAAGCTGCTGACTGTCTGTTTCCCATGAAGCATTGCTTTCCGTACTTCACCTGTAGAATAATCTCGTCAAAGAAATGTTTGGGTAAATTTCACACCCTTCAGAAGCTTGTATCACCTGTAAGTAGCTCCACATAGGTTGTTGTTTAAATAAAAACCCAGTGTAAGGATGAAGTTGATCATTTGGCCTCTGATTGTAGGCTGTAGTTAGACCATAACCTTGTCCATGCAATTACACATAGACCATTAGAATCTCCTGTTGTGCCTCCTCCTCTTTGACCACTTTGTAGTTTCGTTTCCTTGATTGTGTTAGTTGTGTGTTTCTTTTTCAGCTTGCTGAGATTGTCAATCATGGAAAACTGGTATCTAATGAGATCATATAAATCTTCTGTCAGTTTTTTTGATTGTGTTGTTTGTATGCTTCTTTTGCAGCTTGCTGAGATTGTCAATCATGGAAAACTGGTGTCTGATGAGATCATCATAAATCTGCTGTCAAGACGCCTGGAAGAGGGAGAAGAAAAGGGTGAATTGGGGTTCATTCTTGATGGTTTTCCTCGAACCATAAGACAAGCGGTGAGCTAATTATTTGACCTGACCGTAAGTATGCAAAAACACATACTTGCCTCTTATCAGGAAGCATTTTTCACTTGCATTTTCTTTTGAGTTCTTATCATATCTGAGCTGATGAGTAACATGCTTTATGTGCTCTTTGGGACCAATAATATGTGACTTGATCACTGTAGCGGTGTTAGACTCTTAGTATACTGGTACCTTTGTTGTCTTTCCTGATAGTTTCTCAAAGCAGGCTAGCCAAATTTCATTAGTCAAGCCCAAGTTGGTAGAGTTGAATATATTTCCTCTGCTGTAGCCCTCAGCAATGAACAGTAGATTAGTATCCTTGGATTTCTATCTTAACATTAACTTCTGTTGAACCTTAGACACTGGGGTAGATTGCTAGGATCTAATATTGTTTTATCATGTGCCTTGTTAGGAGGTACTTGAAGGAGTCACAGATATTGATTTGGTGATCAATCTCAAGCTCCGAGAAGAAGCTCTGCTTGCAAAATGCCTTGGCAGAAGGATGTGCAGCCAGTGTGGAGGAAACTTCAATGTGGCCTCCATTGATATGGAGGGTGAAAATGGTGGGGCTCGAATGTACATGCCTCCACTATTGCCTCCTCCACAATGTGAATCGAAGTTAATAACCAGAGCAGATGATACTGAAGAAGTGGTAAAGGAGCGGCTACGTGTGTACCATGATTTGGTAGGTTCCAATTGCCTGAGATTGCCTTTTGAGAGTTTTAGCTTGCTCAGTAGTTTTCAATATCTATTTATGCGACCTGAATACTCAATTTGTGCTACTTGAAGTAAATGAGTTTGTTGTTGATATATAGGTCAGCTAGACTATTTTCTTGCATTAAAAAAGTCTATATATCTATGATTTGTATATGTAAAATAATGTAACATGTATTGCATTTTAATACCGCTGTTAATTTGGCATTTAAAAAGTTGTGAGGAATTTTTTCAGACTTAGTAAGGAGCATATGCACTATATATTATGGAAATGTCACAAATGATTCTTCCTTCATGTATCACTATAAGTTTTGAATGCTTTTAAGTTTGACTGTAGCATGTTCGCTATGGTGTCACCATTCCCTTACCAAGTGGGCTATCTCTGCAGACTGAACCAGTGGAGGAATTCTACAGAGCACGTGGGAAACTCTTGGAGTTCAATCTACCTGGTGGAATACCCGAATCATGGCCAAAGTTATTGCAAGCCTTGAACATAGAAGATCCCGACAATAAGAAATCTGCAGCAGCATGATTTTTTTTAGGAATGCACATTAAATTAAACATCTGTAGCTTATGTCAAAGTTAGTCAATTGATGAGCATTCCTTATATCTTTAGAAAGCATAGTCCATTGCGGGTCCAGATTATTTTGGCGTAGCACTCAATTGTATAGTAGATTGATCATCGATAGGCAAGATCGATGGATGTGCTGATTGTTATCCTCGAACGGAAGGTCTGTAAAGGCAAGAAATAATTGTTTGACGTCGAGACATTCATTTGTAGCCTGTAACGTACATGTGCTTGTTGAAAGAGGTGCATACCAGAAGCATTTGAATCTTTAGGGATATGATTGAAGCTTTTCGTGTATGTGATGGCCTTTTTTGCTGTCTGTATACAGTGCATACGAGGAATCAGACATCAGTCTGTTAGGTTGTCAGCTGGTTCATTGCATCATGTGTGAATATGATCTCATGCAGTGTTTGCGGAATCCACCTGCGATTCTTGCCTTGGTCCTGCCAGTACGCAGAAGGTGTCCCTACATGGCAGCATGATATGTTTGAATCGCCATAGCGCCTACATACTGAGACAGATAGTCTGAACTTGGCATGTGGCCCAGGGATCACGCCCAAAATCAGGAGGATCTAGACAGTGGAGCACCTGCAACTGAAGAGAGCAAATTGGGAAGTGGAAATTCAGACAGTGGAGCACCTGCAACTGAAGAGAGCAAACTGGGAACTCTTCGGTGTATAATCAGTTGCTCCAGCACTATATCCCTATTTTGCGTTTCGATCACTGAATTTTTCTCAGTGAGGTTGCTGAAATTCTTATTTTTGGAAGCTACATAAGCCAATCGAAGTGAGTTGTGCCAAATCTGGCAGGCTTACCCCTCCCTTCCTCTTGCCCTGCTCTTCCTTTTATTTCATATACCTGGCCTATTCCGTGTGGGAATCCCGATGAAATAGCAGCAGATGAACTGTTGTGTCTGTCTGATGCTAATGCATGGACTTTAGAAGACAAGATTTCTGCCTGCATCGCAATGGGGGTGTAGCTCATATGGTAGAGCGCTCGCTTCGCATGCGAGAGGCACGGGGTTCGATTCCCCGCACCTCCATTTTTTATTTATTCACAGTTTTTTTGCTTTATTTTTTAGCTCTCGTTACTGTTCTTCTTTGGGTCCATCCTACACGAAATAACACACGAACTGCAATCTGCAAAGGTGCAGCGCTCTACACTCCTGCGATTGAAAGCGGTTCTGCCCTTGGACAGTCGACCTGAGCTAGGTCCCAAAAGTCGATTGTGGTCTTGGTGAGAATACCCATCAGCCATTCTGGGTGCGTGGACTGTTCGTAAGTTCTACTAAAAACTCACACGTCTTTGGTGTTCAAGTTTAGTGCGGTGGACCGTCGATATGATTATGCAGACTGTCCGATTGGACACGACAAGAAATCACTAGTCTTTGGAAAGGGAGAGAAATATTCAAGGCTTGTCCGTACATGATAATACACTGTCCCTGGATTACAGTGGCTCTAAGGGTCCGGTGGCTCAAATCTTGTGTGACAGAATTATCCGTGGGGTTTACACAGAGGTATCATAAGTTTGTTAGTCGGGTTTTGCTCTGGCGGACCATCCATCAGTACACAATATGAACTTCGAACTCAATCTTGAGCTTGCTGAGATTGGATTAGATTAGGGCTTCATGTGAGGCGTGTTCTAGGTATTTCTAGAGGCCTTTGGGACTCATCAGCCATGGTACATCAGTAGGGTGATGCTTGGGTAAAGCCCCCTAAGCCATCTAACGACTATTTCTACCATTGTTGGGAGTTTCTAGGGTGATTCCTATAGTTAGATTAGTGAGAGCTTAAGATATACTTAACAATCCACGAGCAAGAGCTTGTTGGAGTGACCTAGGTTAGTGTAGAGGTCAAATAAAACTCTCTTGTGTCTTTTCTTCTTCACCGCCAATGGAAGGGAAGAGAGCAAGGAGTGGTCTTCCCTAGCAATGGGGGTGACTCTGAGGTTGTTGGTGTTTAGGGTGCTAGCCTGCTAAGGATCATGCCCAAAACCAGAAGGACCAGGACAGTGGAGCACCTCTGCACCTGCAAGTGAAGAGAGTTACTTCCCTCCGTTTCCGTTTACTCCTCACCGAACTTTTACTGTAGCAATTTGACCATGCGTTTTTCTGTAAAAGATTTTTAAGATACATCAAGTTTTCATATATATGATTCTTCATTTTACATACTTGATTAATGTTATATACTTTCAAGTATCTAAGATTTTTTAGAAGAGAAAAAACGGCTGGTCAAATCTGCTACAGTAAAAGATTGGTGACGAGTAAACGAAAACGGAGAAGAAGTAATTGGCAACTCTTCGGTGTATAATCAATTGTTGTGCATCTTGTGCAATGGGAGAAAAGCATAAGTACAACCTACAGATTGGGAGTTCAACTCCCTATTCTTATTAAAAAAAAACACTTCTTATGCTACTTTCAGTGAAATATATGGTTCATTATTGGCGAGGACGGGCTTGCGGCCTCGTATCACGCTCCATGCGGGGGAAAATCTATTTACGCCTCCATCTAGTTTATATATAGGATAAAATTTAGTGAAGCATAACTGAGGGGGTGTAGCTCATATGGTAGAGCGCTCGCTTCGCATGCGAGAGGCACGGGGTTCGATTCCCCGCACCTCCATCTTCTTCCCTGTTTTTATTTTTTAGCTCATCAGTCATCACATTTACCTCCATCTTCTTTCCATGTTTTTTATTTTTTAGCTCATCAGTCATCACATTTTGCTGTACATAAATATTTATTTTCTCTGGGCCCATTCCGCGCAAACGCATTGCGAAACTGCAATGGTGCAACGCTCTACGCTACACAAACTGAAAAAGGCGCCCGGAGATAAGGGGTGCAGTTCAGGAGCGCCTGGACTGGAACGCGATTTCTGGCATAACTCCCTCTCCGCTCCGGCCCTATCCATTCAGTTCGCTGGTCTCGCACTGCACCGCACTCCAATTCCGTCCGGCCGGCCCAAACTCCTGCGTTTGAGCTCCACTTCAGTTAGCAGCAATGCAGACGCAGCATGGTACGGGACGACAGGTTTTCCTTCTTTCTTTACACCACAAAAGGCAACCCAGCCCAACAATCCAGCCTATACTGCGGCTGCATCGCAGTACGCCGCGCTAGCGCTAGCAAAAAGCCACGGTTCGGTGAGGAATGCTACTCCTACGCTAGGGTGGTTGTGGTGGCATCGCCGTCGCAGTGGGGTTCCCGTTCCGCTGCTAGGGATCCGCGATCATTCGGCGGCCGTTCTGTAGGCTGCCAGCCGCGGTGAAAAGGAGGTGGCAACAGAGGCCCAAGCGCCGCGTCTCTAGAATCCTAGTCGTAGAAGAATTTCAGGAGTAGTGGACCTCGGCCTTGGTTATTAGGGGGTGCTTCTGCTCCTCCCGAACCCGGTGGTGATCACAAGCACTTGTGGGGGACTTTTGGCAAGTAGAGTAAATGATTGCCCTGAAACCATACTTTGCATCTTCTTCTACTACTACTAAGATATTTTTCCAGGTACATAATAGTACTATCATGTCCACATGCATAAACCTAATCCCCAACACCCAACAAGTGGCCAGAACGACCATCCCCCAGGGTGCCGGTGTTCACGACTGTCTGGGGGTAATGACACTGCTGTGAGTTTGCATTTTTCCCATACTTTTTTTGTTCACATACACACATTGTAGATTGTATGTATCAATGTACGTGTGTGTGTACGTGTATATATACCCGTAGTACGTGGGAGCACGTCCTGTGGTGCGACTGTTCCGGGCGCAGCACGCTCCGCATATGTCCAAGCAAACACAATCACTCGGCCAACAGTGAGTCCTCTTTCCTAGGCGGAACAGGGCAACAAAATGCGCTCAGAAATGGCGTGCCCGTCCGGCCGGCCGGTCATTGCTGGGAGGGGCCCCGGCAGCCCGGCCCGGCTCTGCCCTGCCCGGAAATGAGGAGAGGACGCGGCACGCCGGCAGCTACGGGACACCCCGGTGGCGGTGCTCGCCTCGCGGCTCCACGACAAGACCCAAACAGAAGTGCTCACTGGTCCTCACTCACCAGCCCCGGAGCCACGGTTGCCATTAGCTACCGCCTACCGGCCACTAGTGCTAAATGGCATAACAGAAGCCAGCGGAAGGCTAGGGGTCCTGTTCGTTTCTCTTATAATTTGTACTTTTTAATTTATTTTTTTAGCTAAAATAGTATTTTTCTTTCACAATAACTCAGTCGGAAAAGTATTTCGGTTTATTTTTTTAGCAAAGCGAACGGGGCCATAGCAACGACACATCTTTCCCTTTTGTTTTCGTCTATCTACTGCGCCTGCGTGCAAGCATTGACAAGAAGGTTACTAGAAAAAACTGAAAAGAAACCGCGGGAAATGAGCAGGAGATGCAGGAGGAAAGGAAAAGAGGTGGAGATTGATGAGCCGTGAACGTGAACGAGCCTTGCCTGGTGCTTTGCATCTCCCTCTCACATGAAGGCCGGGCGGGCGATGAAAGTACTGTTGGTAAAAGTACTATTTGGCTGGAGAAAAATAATGTTCATTGACTAAGCGAACGCGACGGAGATGTGTGATGGGGTGGAGCTCTGCGCAGCGGCGCAGCGCAGCCCCCACTCACATGGAGCGCCCTGCCACGAGCCTTGCACTGCACTGCAGTACTCAGCCACACACCCGCCCAACGAGCTGAAACGAAACGCCCTCTGCCTGGCTGCAGTGTGCAGTGCACCTCGCGCTTGCTTTGGCTGGGTTGGGTTAAAGCTTAACGCCACCACTAAACCCAAGCCAACGCAACGCCGTGGGCATGTAAATACGGGGGACTCGGGGACGGGGTGCCCAGTGGCCTCGCCCGCGCCGCGCCTCTGAACCGCACCCAGCCACACCGCCCTCGTCGCGTCCCGATGCCCAGCACCAGCACCAGCGCCAACGCGCCGACCCGGACACCGCCGTAGCAGCAGCCCACCCACAGCCGGTGCCGCCGCGCTCGCCAGCCGT